CTCTCTCTCTCTCTCTCTCTCTCTCTCTCTCTCTCTCTCTCTCTCTCTCTCTCTCTCAAAGCACCTTTATCGCAAAACGTGCTGTTCGGCATAAGAACGGAAGAGGTAATAAAAGGGGGGACGGGAGATATTTCCATTGAGTCAATCTTAATTGAAATTGCAAAATATTATAAAAGAATAACACATTTGCACTGAAAACCCTTATCGCAATACTATGCTCGTTTTGTTTGCTTTTCCCTTTAAAAATGGAAATGTTTGTTCTTTGCAAAAGCCGGTATCCTTACTGGGCGCAGAATGATTATGACAACGTCCTCCCCCCCCCCCCCACCCCCAAATCCTACCAGACCATCTGTAATAGCTTGTTCACTTTTGTCTGACCGCGTTAAAAAAATTCTACCTCATTGAAGAATTTATCTATACTCTATACCCACAAAACTTTGCATGGCAGTGGCACCGGAGATGACCCCGAAGGCATTTCTGCAGGCCAGTGACCAAACAACCATCGTTTTAGAAAAAATATTGACCCATTAATAAAACAAGTTTTTCTCTTCGAGCCCTACATTTAAAAAAAACCGTTCTTTGAATGAATGCACAGGATCACTAAAATGAATGACTTGCTGTAGCTAGTAGCCTTGCTCACAAATTGCTCAACGGGCCCCACGTGGCGTAGAGGTTAAGGGGTTCGCCTCTCATGCAATAGGTCCCGGGTACGAATCCGGAATTTTTCCTTTTCTAAATTGTCTCCATTCACATCATTTGCTACTCTCAAGCAATGTTCTGTCGTCTGCTTTCGTCTCCGCTTTCTGCCATCACCCCCTCACGATCTTTGCCCCATCCTCTGGGCTCCTGACTCTTTCTGCAGCCTTTCTACTGCTACAGATTGGCTCCTTCTTACTGCTGTCTTTCAGCCACACCCCTGATCTAATGTAAAGAAAGATCAACATCTAGCCTTCTCGGACAACGGCGAAAAATCTCGGAGGTCCCGTGTGCAAGTTGCGCACGTTAAAGATCCCTTAGTGGTCCAAAATCGATAAGAGTAAGCTTCGGCCGCTACCCGGGCAAAATTCAAAATTTTCTTCCAACTAAAAACGTTTAATGTGTCCCGCGCGCTCATATGACCTTATGCAGTTGCGAGCGCCGCAAAACACTCACCAAAACCACCACCACCACCAACAACAACAACGAAAACAACAACAACAACAACCCAGTGCCGGATTAAGACCCAGCTGGCCCCAAGGCACACTTCACTGAGTGGCCTGAAAAAGTTATATATGGTGTAAAATCCCTCCCCTCCCCTCCCAACCCCTTTTACAC